CCATTTTAAATTTGAACAATCTTTTTTATTGCTCCACGTGAATGTGCATTTAATTTATACATTATTTGTTATTTATAAAATACATTTCTTATTTAAAAACAAATGACTAATATAAGTTATAGGCAAGTTAGGACTCACTTTTAAAGGGACAGTAACTTTTACATACCAGGTGCTTAGTTGGGGATTATTCCAAGCTCCATCCTTGTTACCAGAGACCATACTGTCATAATTTATCAAAATTGAACGGAAATAGAAACATTTTTAAGTCCTACTGATTTCAGTGAATTTTTAAAGCATGTGCTTCAATCCAGTAAAATCGGAGGGATTTGGAAGCTGGTAATAGTGTGTGTTTTAAAATATTTTTATTGCAACATTCCAGCTAGCTCTCTATGCAGCAAATATCTGATGTTTTCATGGAAGTTTTATTGGACCCCAAGGCACGTCTGGATGCCACAGAATTGGAGCTGAAGATTTCCAGCCCATTACCTACCTAATTGGTGAATTTGTTGCCCAATATTTGAATCAGCACTAAAAGCTTTGTTCTGAGGCTCACTCAGAAGCACTGAAATATATAAATATACATATTTATTTTATTGCAACTGGTTGGGAACAGGGGATCCAGGCATACTGTCAGGAATACATTTGGTAGCAAACACACTTTATTCAGCATAAATTATTATGGAAAGTATAATGAGGGGGAAGTTTGGCACACCATTTGGAGTGTTATGGAGCTAAACATGCTATTTTTGTGAGCTGTTCTTTCAGGTCTACATTTCGGTTTATTTTATGAGGCTCAGAGGCAAGAGGCATTGTTATATGCTGGAGGGAGCAAAAAAAAATGTCAAGGACTAGGAGCCAGGGCATTCGAGGATGAATAGTTCATGGTGGCAATGGGTAAAGAAAAGCATGGGGCAGGAGATCTGTGTGCTATGGATGGGTAAAAGTACAAGGGGGTAAAACTGAACATAATAACAGGAAGTGATGGAGGTATTAGTTGAGTTCAGAGTGCTGGTTTGTGGGTAAGCGGCTGAGTTCTACATGTATAATAACAACAAAATCTATGTCAATATATCCGCCTCCTCCACAGTATGCTTCTGTGACCATACTTGAGTCACAGAACTTTGATGCTGCTTTAATTGTCATGGTTGTATCCAACAGAATTATGGAATTTGTAGTTTGATTGAATACTCAGACAGAGAGCAGTGCTCCATTCCCCTGAACTACTTCTCTTTAAGTACTTCACCAACTTAAAGTGGTCATAACTCTAAAGTAAATGCACTTCTAGAAACAAGGCATGAACTCTAAGGAGAAGACTGAGATGTGTAGTATGGAAATTATTTTTTTTCTTTACTAGCTGTAGTTAATTAATGTCTGTGCATCATCTCCTGTACTTGGAGGCAGGCCTGAGATATTAATTTCCCCACTGGCCATATGGGCAGCTCCAAACTTTTAAATGTGTTCTGTGTTATGGTGAAGTGCAGAAATGCTAACAGTCATGGATAACTCGCCATGTGTTTAATGTATGGAAATCTTAACACCTCATACACACTCCTCTCCAGCCCTTGGTGTGCATTAGAATTTGTTCAGGCCCAAAAGTTTACTATACTTTCAACTGCAAAATAAGCCTGTGTAGCCTTATTAATGTCTAGTGCCTAGTTTGTCTTACAGGATGTCATGCCCATTTAGACGTTGAGCATTTCTATAGGCTTTCAGAGAAGTAGATAGCAGCTTTGATGGGAAAACTCTTTGAAGTAATTTTGTTGTTTTTTAAAAAAACCCAAAGACATTAAAGAAGAGATACATTCTCTGCCATGACATCACCATTAAACATACAACAAGCACGTATTTCTTGGGCTTCAAGCCATGCTAACTCCTTATGTTCTAATATTGTAATAATCTTTGTCTTTCCAAAACATCTGGGGTTTAGAAAAAAGGCAGCCTGCCTTTGATTCAAATGGGTTGCTTTAATAACTTCTAAGCAAATGTGAAACATCAAGCATTAGGAAAAAATGATTTTAGGATTTGGGGTTTTTTTTTTTTTGCAACATGACAGAATGCTTTGAGCACAGTTATTAAAATTATCCCCTAAGGTAATGAGAAAGGACACATAAAACAATTTTCTGATTTTATTATCAATGATGACAGTGGGATCAAAACTCAGTTTGGCCTTGGGCTCTTGAGGTCAACTTCTGCATATTTTTATTCCAGGACTTAAATTTGCCATATATCAAGTAATGCAGTGTTCAGCACCTCCCCAAGAGCTTCAACGTACATTTCTTTTATCATTGAATTATTGCAGACACTCCTTACACCCGAGCAATGAAGGCAGAGAATGAAGAGATCAAACAGTTGTGTTTTCAGTTGGCTTCAAGCCCTGGTGGTGCTTTCCCTGGAAAGTGGTGTCTGCAACATACTCTTTTGAATAGAGATCTTGTGCCAGTAACTCCCATAGAACACTGCTGGTTAAAGTGTGGGTCCCAACCCCAAATAAGGTCCCCTTACTACAAAGCTGGGGTTGCAAAAATATTGGCAATAGTAAAAGGTTTCTGAATGCCACCTAGACATTTACATGAATTTGTTGGCAACAACATGCAGCGTTTACAGTGGACTCTGCAGAAAGTGCTTCAACTGTACTTCATAAAATGGAAAATTAACCTGTCTAGCAAGCCTTATGTATGCTGATTTATTATCAGTAAATGTTTGATTTGTATACCTATTTTAAATACCTACTTTTTGTCTGGTAAAGTTAGATTAAAGTGATCAGATATCAAGTTGACTGAAAATATACACAGGAGTGTTGCATATGTAACTGAAAACTTCATTACACTAGACTAGAGCATTTATCCAACCCATTTTAATTCTGGTTGCGACCTCCTGCAGAATTCTGGGGTTTGTAGTTCAGGACCTCTGTGGCTGAGGGGTTTGTAAAGATCCCTTACCTTTCCAGCCTGGGTGGCAGGGCCTAGGAGAGGCAGGCTAGTTAGTTTCAGCCTTAGAAGGCCTGGCAGAGGGCAGCAGGAGCCATTTTAGTTTAGGGAAAGCTCCATTTCAGAGAGGGGGAGTGGCCTAGGCCTGAGCCAGCCTTAGAACAGCCAGGATTGGTTTATTAAAGGGGGGCGGAGTTAGACTGTTTGGAGGGAAAGAAGAGGGCTTTTTGGAGTCAGTCTGTTGATGTTAGAGTTTAGAGCAGGATTACAGAAGTTTTTAGGAGTTCGTGTTAAGAAGAGGCAGTTTGCCTGAAGTTTGCCAGCGAAGTAAGCTGTAGCAAACTGGGTACAGCTATTTAGGGAAAAAATAGCTGGGTTTTGTAGTTAGCTAGGCCACAGTTGGGGTAGCTAGGCTACAGTTGTATCTTGGCAGAGATTTCAGATCCTGTCAAGAGTACTTGTGTTTAAAGAGAAGTAAATCTTTATATTTGTAACAAAGAAAGAACCATTCTCATGCAACCGTTACGCTTTCAAGAACCAGAACATTTTATCTGTAACAGCCAAGCTTATTAAACAGCATTTACACTTCTTCTGTACTATATTAAATAAACTTTCCTTGATTATTTTGAAACTTAAAAGCCTGAGTCAAGTGTACATTTGTGGATTTAGTCCCTTTTCCTTTTCAACCTCACCGGCTTCCCTTTAAAGAAGAAAATAAGAAGACACAGTTCTATGGTGATCTTAAAAGCCTTTTAATAGTTTAACCAGCTAGAGTGTTCCTGTATAATTGTTTATGGTGGCAGCGGAAGTTAATTAGTGAGACAATCCCCTCAAACGTTCTATTGGTGCCAAAGTGGTGTAAATTCTTTATATTGGAGGGACAGTTGGTGGGATTTGCTTTACCCCCTGTCCAGAGATATTGTTTGACCCCCCCTGCCCAGACACGGCTTTACAATGCCTCTGGTAAAAATGAATTATTTCAAAATAAACCAAAGTTTTCTTGGTTTGTTCTGAATTAATTAAATATCTCTTTCGATCCAGACCTTCCTGAAAGGCCCAGGTCTAATAAAGTATTGGGCCTGTGGCGGAGGGGGGGGGGTGACTTCCAGGTCTGTCTCCACTGCCATCCCACACCTTTTGGCCTTCTGGAACCCAAAAGTGTGAGAGGGCATACATCCCATTCCCCCAACCCCCATTTCCGCCCTAAACTTACTTTTAAAGGACCCTGGCCACCATAAAGCCTCTTCTCGCATTCTCCTGATGTGAGAAAATGACATGCGAGGAGACCAGTGGGGGGAGGGGGAGCAGAGGGAATTTCCTCACCTCTCCCATCTCCAGGAAAGCCCAGGATTTGAGTAGGTGGGTGTAGACAGGAATCTGCAATCAAGTGGGGCATTTTAATCCTATTTGGCTCAAGTTTTATGCCTGTGTAGAAGCACCCTAGGTACCACAGAATTCTAATAAAGTACTTGGAAGAGTGCAAAAAAGATGATGTGTAACTGAAATGGAACAGCAAAGGATTGAATACTGGAGGCTGTTCCAGAGAAATGGAAATAAAAGAAATGAAATTTGAGATTGTGGCGGCAGCATATGAGGATAGGGAAAGTGAAGAAGCAGTTAAGCCTGGAAAACTGCTGTAAGGGAGGTTTATTTAACCAATAAACCTTAACTAAAGCTCCATCTGCACTGACCATTTAGTGCAGTTTCAAAATGGTATGGAAAAGAAGTGATTTCATTGTGCAGATGGTAACATAGGAAATCCTGGAACCCCTTTCGACCCATATGGCGATTACACAAACCACAGAACACTGATGCACATTAAGGGCTTTCTTTTGCATGCTTTTGTGAGTTTTTTGACCTTATCACATGGGGGAGCACTCCCTCCCCCGTGCCGTTTCACCAGCAAGTGTGGTGAAATGGCAGGCATGAGGGGCGACTCTGTCACATGGAGGGGGGAGCATCGCTCAAACAGGGCAAAAGTGTGCTGGCTCCATTGGAGCTAGCGCAACATGAGAACGCTTCTGTGTTTGGGTTACAGCATCCAAGGATGTCACACAATGTCATGTGATGGCTGGTGTGAGTCTCCAGCCCAGAAGAAGGCTCAAAGTGTCCTAGGACACTTGTTTTGGTAAGTATGATGGGGTGGTTTGTCATCTGGCTGCTGCAGTTTGAAGCTAGCTTTGAACTGCATTAAATAGTGTAGATTAGGCTGAATAAACTTGTCTCTTCAGGAGAGTTACAATGATTTAAATCAGGAATGCACAACTGTGATGGGGAGGGGGCAAAATCTATATTTTTTAATCCACCTCTACAAGCCTCATCATTACTCTTGACATGTTATGCCATTTATAGATTTGTAAGTTGGCTAGAATTTGTGTTTTTTGGGAGGGTATTATAGGGAAACGTAATCCTAACTATATGGTTGCTTGGGTAATATTTCACTGATTTTGGGTGAAGGATTGGCTATTTTTGAAATTGGGGTGGGGAATCAAGGGTGTTTGTGGTAGTTCAAAGCTTGTCAAATGGAAGCTGGGGGCTATATGCAATTATATTTTTAAGGCAAGAAAATGATTTGGTACCTCTTCCCATCCCATTTTTGTGGGGAAAATTTGAATGAAAATGGAATACATGGTAGAGATGTTACCAGATAAGTAAACTACAAGACTTAAGGAGAAAGGCTCAAGAGTTAAGAAGTCTAAAAAAAAGTCATCATATTGACTGTGGCAAATCGAGGTGGGGGGAGTAGGCCAATCCTGGCTCACCATGCCCTACCTCACCATCACCAGATACTTCCTCATCACACATGGGGACGTGTTGTTGCATGGCTTCTCCCATGGTGGCCCCGCTGTTCCTAATAGAACACTCAGAGGTTCCCTTGGTGACACAGCATCATAGGAAGTGAGTGATGGGTGGAAGTGAGTGATGGGTGGCATGAGATTCCATGGTTCAACTGGGTCAGAAGCATCCTAGCATATTGATATTTCCTTGTGTGATGAGGTTGTAAGTCTTTGGGACAATGTAAGTATGGATTGGCTATGTCATTGCACCATCGACTCTTTATCCTACCCCAAATCACAGTAATGGAAGACCCTATCATAATCAGGTGTCAATCTGTCTCTCAACATCCTTAACACATATCTTCGAAAGATACCATAATTCATGGTATTGCAGATCACCAAAAGCTACAAGAGAATGAACAGAGATGCATCCCCCTGTCTATTCACCAGTGTAGATTTCAATTATTTAAGTTTTGGACTTAAGTTTCTAGAATTCCTGGGGATTCTGGAGGTTGAAGTCAAAAACACCTGAGGGGACAAAGACTGGAAACAACTGACCCTTTTGTATCAGAAAATGTGTTAGGAACCAAAATTTAAAATTCTGGTTTCCTGCATATTTTCTGCCCACACAGGCAGCTAAAAATCTCACCTTTTTGTTGAGGGGTGGTCACATCCCTCCTATGTCACACTGGCATCAGCATGGGGTGGGTGGCTGGGGTATAAATACCTCTTGCCCTCCTTTGCCCCCTTTTCTGGCTTTAAAGTAGTTAAAAAGGGGTAGTTCCCAAGATTGGAGGCTTTGAAGGATCTCATAGAGTGTGAAAATGATGTGTGGAGCTTTCAAGGGTTAATTCAATTTGAAAGCTTTGTGCTTCATTTTCAGGTGCAACAGAGCCCTTAGAAGCCTTGGGAAATACCCCCCCCTTTTAATTGTTTTAAAGCCATAAAAGGGGTGAGGGAGGGGAGGATGGCATTGCCATCCCTCTTCCATGGGCTGCTAGAGCCCATGGGGGTGAAATGGCTGTGTGGATCGCCCCTAGGATTGCAGATGGCAATGCCTTGTCAAAGAGAACTGGTTCAAAAATCTTTTAAGTTGTGAGTGTTGGAATTCAACCCAACACTGCCCAAGTCTCAAGACTTCAACAAGGAACTGTTGGTTAGTTACTTTAGTATAGAGTAAGGGTTTCCCTTCCCCTATGTCTCTTGTATGACAGTTGGGAATGCATCTATTTTTTCTCTCCCCTGTTACTGTTCTCATTCTGATTAGTTGTGTAGAATGGATACTTTTCTACTGTAAGCCATTTAAAATCTGACTTCAGTTTCTTACATATTGGTATGTGCTGTGTGTTTTGAGATCTCTCTCTTGTGTGTGTCAGAGATATGTAGCAATTGGTATTTTCCCCATCCCTTTTGAAACCTTAGAAGAGATGGGTGTTAGAGTAGCTCAGACTCAATTCTTGATGATTAAGAAATGTGGTTATTTCTTATTATTGTAAATAAACCTTTTGTGATTTTTAAGATTGGATTCTTAAGATAATATTTTAAGATAAGATTCTTAAATTCTTTACAGCCACATCACATGGCACTTCATGCTCTGCTTGCTAATGAGATGAATGCTCAGCTTTAGTATCCTGTTTATGTTTTTGGATGCTCTGCTATATTTTAGGGTAGTTTTCCCTAACAGTGAAGATGTCTTAATTCAGAAAAGACTTTGATAGTAAATATAATGAATTAATATCTTCATTCTTCATGGCCCCTTTTCTCATTTTATATGTCAGTTTTCACATAAGGCTATTCACATACCCCACACCTGAAAGATCCAGATCTTTGCAGGTGTTTGTTTTTAAACTTGGACTAAACCTGGATTTTCAAATTGATTCCAGCTTAATTTTTTATTATCATGAGGCATCATTTGGATGCCTTGGTGTTGCCCAAGAATGGAACAATGGAGAATGGACAGACATTACCGATATTTCCTGGCGGCTGGTATTCAGAATCAGACTAATAGCTATTGCTAGATTCATATCATAATGACAACGAATAGCTATCAATATTTTTATCTCCCTAAAGTATGTCAAAAAGATTTTCAGAGCCACCCAAGTTAGTGGTGATACGTTATAGTTAACGCCATAGATTAACTATGTACTGTGTAATGATGTATCTTTTTTTATTTGCCCCTAATTTCCCACCATTCAGATCCACTGGATGACTCTGGATTCTAGCTTTATGAGAGAGAGAGAGGGAGAGAGAGAGGATGAGAACGTTCTACTTTTTTCATAAAATACATAACATTGTAAATCTAAAGCTGGAGTCAATATTGTAACAATATTATGCACTTCTCCATGGTTCTGCCCTTTAGCAACATTAGACCCCAAGCTTTATTCAGCAAAGTGTGACTGTTTTGTTGTTAATATATTGTTTGCCATTTGTGTGTGTGATGAAATGTATTCCAAATGGTAAGAGTGGAAAAATCCCAGTTTGCATAACATTCTGTGTTATAAAATTGAACATATGGAGCACATGTGGTGTGCATGAAGGGAAATGTACCTGCTTTCCCTCTCCAAATGCCTATTTTGTAATTCATGCAAACAATAACAGGCCCGTTTAATCTAATGCCATCTGAAGAAAGGTAACATGGCTCTTGTATAATATTATTTATAGCATCTGTCAAAATATTAATGTATACCATCCATATGTTTATTCATCTGAATATGTTGTCATTGAGCATGATTGCCCTGTCTGTTGATTTATGGTCATTTATTGCCTTAATAAGGAATGATAGGATGAGGGAAATGTGATTTCTTACGTGTATTTCACATGATTCAACAACACATGAATGAAACAGCAAGGGTATAATCTTTTTGAGCATAACACATTCAAGCAGAAAGTTTTGGCTCTCAAAATTGCATTGGAGCTTTCTTTGTTCTTAAGAGCCTCAAGAAACTCCTGTAGTGAATTTGAAAGGTCTTTATTCCAATGGCTTTGCAAATCTTACAGTAATGTCATTTTACTGCTGAAATTGTGTTTTACTTATGGAGGCCCCTGTGTTCACAGGGAATAGCTTTCTGGCTGGACCATGGTTATCTGAAACTGTGGACATATCCAAATGCCTTTAAAAACATGATTCACTGTCCTGGCATACCAGAATTGAGTTGGAGGACCTAGAGATTTCTAGAGAGGTATCATTTCTGGGAATTTACTAAGCCCTCCTATGCAACTCTATAGCAACTTCCAGATTCTCTTGGAACAGCAAGAAAATTCCCAGAGAGACACCACCATTCCCACTATGCATACATAAAACTGCAGATATGGGATTCAGTGGTTATGGAGGTCTTACTGCATTTAGTTACATTGTATTCATAAATGCTGCAGCTGGAGATCCTGCATTAAACAAGGGTTGGACCAGATGGCCTGTGGGGCCCCCTTGACACACACAAACACAGTGACACACAGTAATTTTACAAATCATAACAAGCAATAATTAACAATTAGGCATGCTATAGGGCCTTAAATTATAATTAATTATTTTGTTAAATATTTTTGTTCATGTGTAGACTGATGGAAAGGGAGGAGATGTTGCATGTGGGCTGAGTAGTAATGCCTTGTCAAAAGGATCTGGTCCAGATTTTTTTCAAGTTGCCAGGATCTCTTTATTCAGAAAAGCCTTTCTTAGCAAATATAATGAATTAATATCATTTTTAATAAAGTTATCTTCATCCTTCCTTGCCTGTTGCCTCATTTTATATGCTAATTTTTACTATACACTGTCCCAGAATACTTGTAGGATGTCAAAATACACACAAATAGTCTATGAAAGGAAAGAATACTCAAAGAGCATAAAGAATATAAATATTCATTACATGGTTCAGTACAGTCACACTTTACTTAGTGTTACTGTACTGAACCATGTACTGAATATTTATATTCGTTATGATCTTTGAGTATTTTTTCCTTTTATAGACTATTTGTGTGTATTTTGATATGTTAATTTTTCACATAAGTCTATCCTCCAAACTCTTGATTCCATTCCATTGCTAAAAAGATAGTACAGATAGTAACAATATTGTTTTAGTTACTAGAAGATTAATAATAATTTCATACTAAGTTTTCAATCAAGCATCTTTTATTTCTTTGAATTAACAATCCATTAATGTGGCCCAGGAAGCAATATAAAGCATAACAATTTGAGTCTTCAAGCCTTCAAATAAGAACAAATTAAGACTTGTGGGTTATGAGTTGCATTAGGCATGTCTCTTTTGGTGAGTGGCTAAAGGAAAATTCCAAGAACAGAAATATCACTTAGTTATGCAATTATCCCACCACTTCACATACATAAGAATTTGGTTGTTTCCATATTATCTAGTTTATTATGTACAATATAATATAACAGATTTATGTTTTAAACATGAAATCTCCATGTTGGAATTCTTTCTTCTTTCATGAAATTTTTGAAGGGTTCCCAATTGTTCTTAGATATTGAAGGGTCTTTGAAGCATCTCATGACATTTCTGTGCAGATTATTAGGACAAATAGTTAATATATTGTTTTCAGTATAAATATTTCCAACTTGAATCTCTTGGAATATGGAAAATAAAAAAAATAGTTAAAATTAATTTATAACTAACAATTTCACTGCTCCCAAGGCTTTCACTGAAACATCATAAAAATGTAAAAATAAAAATGACACCACTGTCATTTTAAATAAGGTTTCCAAGCTCTTGGACTCTATCTTTTCTTGGATAAACAGTCTGTTGAAAAGAGACCATAAGGTAGGAACCCACTAGGAAATTATTTCTTTTGGTTGCTTTTAGGGAATGTGCATGTGTGTGTTCTGCTTTGGGCAATTTTACAAACTTTCTGCACTTTTATATATTGCAATGTTGGCTTTTCCCAACAACCTGACTATTAATTTGAAAGGGGAAATCTTTACAATCACCAATATGGAAAATATTTTAGAGTTGTGGTCAGCCCTCTAGCATGAATGTGGATGTTTTGTGCCCCAATTTTACAATGTTAGCCTTGGCACAATTCCCATTTACTTTAAATAACACTATTGCGGAGGTCAGGTTATTACAACTGGGCTACAACAAGGGAACAGCCAGTGAAAGGCTTGTAAATTTTTCACTACACAATTTAATTTCCCTGGGAGGTTGCCCTTTTTACTCACGCAAAGTCCTTCGCTTTCTTTCATTTGCAGTATTCCCAGCAGTCCTACCCAACAGATAGTCTCATCAAGTTTGGTCCTTGTTTCCTGGCTCAAGAAGATTCTTAATCAGGACAAATATGGTAAAGTATTTTTGCACATTATACTTTTATAAGAATACATGAGAATAACTACAACTTTTGAAGCAGGGTTTCTGTGTGGGGGCTGTTTCTGTTTCCCTTTGTAGTTTTCTTCAATAGTATAATGTTGGTGCAAAGATAAAATGGATGCATAGGGGGAGATCATTCACTGTGGTTGGTGAGTGTAGCTTGATCCAGTCTAGGGGATTCAACACCTCCATCAACCACAAAATAATTGTGGCAATGTGTGTTAGTACTTGGAACCAGCCTTCTGGTGTGGGAATTGGGGAAACCACCTTCTGCAATGTCCAGTGCAAAGTATGTATTTCCATAACTCTGCTTTAGGTGAATACATGTTACCAACAAGATTTCACTCATAAAATCCTTGGAGGAGTTGGATGATTACTTGTGCAAACCTCACATGGAATAAATAGAATAAAATAATGAATTGCTTTGGCTATTTCAGATACTTCTTTGCTATATCATTTCATCACTAATAATTTATTATGTTTATCTATCTATTATCCACCCATTATGCTATGTTCAAAACCCGAGTTGCTACATCCTATGCAGTACAGTCTCTGAGTTACAAACAGCCAACATACTAATAGTTAACAACAAGAAAGCAAGAGAAATCTACCTCAGGAAGGAAAATGCATTCCTGGAAGAGCCATACATTATTTAAACTGTTATGTTTATTTATATCATGATATGTTCACCATGCTCAATATATCCAATATGCATGGGGATATTGGGATAATGATACAAAAGGTTTGCTAGGGTAGATCCTCAGCCCTTCCCCCCCGAATCAAAATCCTGGCTATGGGCCTGGGCCTGGTGGTCTCTTCAAACTTTAGGATTCTGATTGTATGTACTAAAATACATAGTATACCAACTGGGCATCCTATCACTCTTATGAGTTAAAACTGAAGACCTATTTAAACAAACAAACAAACAAAAAAGGCTTTTTGTATTGGTGCAAAGTTGTCATGTTGGCTAGTGGACTCAGGGAGTTTTACAAGGCCTGGTCTGGGGTCTGTTATTGTTTTTCTTTCCACATTCACTATCCCTTGTAGTTTATTAGCATCTGCTTTTAATTATCATGGCTCCCAGAATGAAGGACTTATGAGGTCTCCTAAGTGCAAAACCTTTTGTGCTAGTGACAATTCAGCCAGCTCATGAAGTAGAAGTATTTCCCCACAAGATTAGGAAGGATTCAGAATTGTGAACTGTTCCACAATGACAGTTAATTAAATCTGTCTCTTCTGAAAAACAACAAATGGCCAGTGTCTGTTGCTGGCTAATTCATGTTGGTTCCAAACTGAATGCTCACATCTGGCTATGAAGAGAAAGCAAGAGCTCAAAGAAACAAAGAAATTTGGGAGTTGAGAAAGGCAGACAGACAACTTCTTTGTTAGTTCTAAAACACTAATACGATTTGTTACCTTTCACAGTAATAAATAAAAAGTTATTCTTCTTGCAGTAACATAGCAAGCTCTTACCTTAGCCAGAAACATCCCAAGGAACAAGGCCAACTTTCCATAAAGGCAACATAGCAGTACATTTATCAGGGGTGAAAAATCTACTGAGTTTGTAGCTGGTTTTTCATTACAGAAATGTGAAAGACTTTTGTGTGTACATTCCAGAGCTGATAAGAAAAATGGGTGGAATCCAACTATGTTCTCTGGACTGATATAAGGTCTTCATCAGTAGAACAAGGAGGGAGTGACTTCTTTCTTCTCTCTGCAAACTTCCACAAATCTGCTCTGGATTTAGGATGGTATGGGAAAGGGAATGCAATGGCAAGGGAGAATTGTTCTATTTCTGTCCTACTAATAGAAACTTTCTATCAGAGAAGTATACTTCACTTGATTCTACATACCTCTGTCAACCAAAGGGTTTCAAAAAAGGAAATGTTGGATTTTATTCCAGTTTTTTTGGAGTCTTGCCTTTCGAACTAATTAATAATGCAGCCAATGACTGATTTAATTAAAGTGAAAGTCAAAGCTTAGACCTCACTTCATTTTTTCCCCAATCTGGATATGTCTGAGGGATGGTATTAAGTCAACTTGCTTATACAATGACTTCACTTTTTCAATTTCCTTCAGAGAATTTGGCATGCAAAGCAGCTATATACATAGTTTTAAATAAGCACTCACTGCCAAGTACACATTGCAGACTCAATTTTCATGTCTGCATTTCATCAACTGTTAGTGCAGTTTTGTATAACTTAAGCTGACCTCAGAACGGACAAGGAAGCAAATTTGTCTTTTGGTATTGAAATTGTAAAGTCTGCAATTTGGAGGAATATTAATGAAGTACTTCAGAGGTTTGTCGTGTCAGGAGTGACTTGAGAAACTGCAAGTCACTTCTGGTGTGAGAGAATTGGCCATCTGCAAGGAAATTGCCCAGGGGATGCCCGGATGTTCTGATGTTTTATCATCCTTATGGGAGGCTTCTCTCATGTCCCCGCATGGGGAGCTGGAGCTGATAGAGGGAGCTTATCCGTGCTCTCCCTGGATTTGAACCTGCGACCTTTTAGTCTTCAGTCCTGCTGGCACAAGGGTTTAATCCGCTGCACCACCGGGGGCTCCTTCTTCAGAACTGTGCAAGCAATCAAATATTAATTCAGCTCTTTTTAAACACAATAATGTGGGTTCTCATGCATTTTCTGTATTATCATAAAGCATTTTTAAAAATTATTATTTTTTTTACATAGGATCACCTTCTGGATCTGGAGTGGGACATTATCAGGCCTTTAGGTTTGAATGCAGCTGATCCATCCAAGGATCTAGTCTAGGTGTACTACACAGCTTACCTTTCCCAGCTCTGGGCCTCCCCTGTCCACTGAGGCTGTCCATTGGGTCCTCCTGAAGAGAAAGACTTCCTGTCACAGATCAGTCATCTTTGATCAGCAAGGTATTGCTGTATCCTTTGGTTGTTCTTTGATTCTGCCTCCTGATTTGCTCTTCAATCCTGCCTTGATATGTGGTACTCGGCTCTCTAGTTCTTCCTTGGTTCTGCTTGCCCAACTTCTCTTTTGTCACGCAACTCATGGTTTTTGACATACTGTCCACTCATCCTTGACATTCTGGTGAGAAAATGTATGCAGCACTTACTTCATGCTTTGAAGTGTTTCAGAATCCATAAAAGCTCTATGTGTCACTTGAGCAACACACATCTGAAGCTACAGTGAACATACTATCCTGAAGTGATACATGTATTAGCCACTATCCTGAACATTTAGGCATAGGCCTCAATGTTCCATATTATTTACACAAGGCAGTACTTTCAGCCTCTACTGTTCTTTAGCTGGCTGTGTAAGTGATTTGTATTTTCTTTCTTGGAAGGAGGTTCTGTAGTGGTGTTCCTTTTCAACTTGAAATCATAATCTCAATAACCTCGTAAAATAAGTCTGAAAAAAAAATAATTTAAAACCTGTGGTTTGCAAAGGCATCTTCTATTGCTACCAGTTCCACTATCCAGAATGTGTTGTTATGAATTCCAAATGCCATCAAAGCCATTTGCATTCCATCTCAAGACATATTTTTGGAGTGAGATAGCTATGAATGCAACAAAAACAAGTTTGCTATGGTTATTTGCTATCTACCTTCATATGGGAATGTAAACAACCTCAGTCAAATATGAGACATTTTCATCACTTTAAGGTCATCCTCTAAGCCTTGCTTCTATATAAATCTAATGGAGATGAATCTTAATACCCTTGCAATACAATACTTTGATATGCATACAGCATGGAGAAGACAACACAGGATGGCTTTAGCTGTACTACAAAAATAACAAGAACAGATAGATTGACAATCAGCAGATTATGATGGGTGAACAATGAACTCCATGATTATTTCTCTATAAGATTTACTTAAACTGCACATTTTTGCATGGCAGGTCTATGATTCTATGATTTTATAACTAATTTATTATTCAGGATAAAAGTTCTCACTGTTAGATTAAAACATGATGGCATTCCAATTTTTAGAGCTGATATTTTCATTGTTTGTTCATAGGCCAGTAGAAAAAAATAGTAAGAGAATTCCCAAACACAAGCTTCATGATCACTTGTCTTGTCATTAAGACATCCACATACTTCTCTCTGTGATTGTATCCTTTGTGGGTGTACATGAGTATTAACAAATAAGCTTTACTTCACAGGATTCCTATGCCATGATGTGTCCTAGTTACCATAAAACCCTGTGGAAAAGATGCACACTCCTTGTTCATGTTCAGTTCTTTGAGTGATTCTCATCACGTACAAGGACCTAGTTCACTGTGATATATAATGCAGATATTGCAAAATTCCCATTACTTACAGAAAGCTTTTTTCTTTGAACACAACTAATTCAGATTAGAGGAGAGAAATTTAAGGTGGCCCGAATGTGTATGTGAGAGAGTGTCAATACTGTACTTGTTTTATTAGCTATAGGTCTGTAATAAATGAAGTCTTATTATATTTTCCAAAGTGGCTCGTGAGTTTGTCAGAAATACTTTGATATTTCATGATATATCTTTATCCTTGAGGGTCTTGTCTGGTTCTTTCATAGCTGCCCTTCCAAGTTTTAGTGTTTTTCTAATTTCTTGACTGCACCCCTTGTTTAGAATAAGCACTGTGTCGAAGTGCAAGAAATCTTTCACTCTCTCTACTGATAGTGAGCATCTACTGATACTAAAAAACCTGTTTTTTGATACATGTGAATTGACTTTTTTTTTTAATTCTAAAGAATTCACAATATACGGGGTGGTTTGTTTTGCTGTTTTAATATATGTTTTCATATTAAGATTGTTTATTAGATATTCTCGATCTTAGAAGAGACTTGCAGGTCAGTTAGATTCTGACCTGCAAGTTGTTGAGACCCTAGTATTTCAAAACTCAGTGCCGATTCAAAGCTGTGCATAGCAGCCAGAAGACTCTGAGTTTGGGTTGTTTCATGGTTTGCGAAGATAAACAAATGAAGCTGATTTCCAGCCAACAAATTGCATGTGCTACAAAAAGCTCTTTAATAAGACAGCATCTTTTCTTTTTCTCTAATAGGTCTGTAGAAACTTAATCCATCCTCTTGCCATTCCTGTGATAACTTCTTCAAGTTGTGATTTCTGGACCTCTAAAAAAACCTTTTAAAATAACATAATGGGTGAATATGGCTTGAATGAGCTTATAGTTTGCAGAAAACTGATCTTCTTTTTTATGAGGGAAAGCATGGTTAAACCATAGCCAAGCAGACTGCTCGGGTGTTTAAGAAATGATCACAGCTTGCTTAGTTTCTCTGATGGTTTTGTAGGAGACAACTCCCACCAGAATATATACATTACTGTGGTAAATCCAGTGCAGACAGATTTATTCTAGATTACTAAATGACTCATTCTCTACCTTGGCCCTCAAAAAAGTTACAGGAGAAAATATATATCTAAAAGGGGGATTTTCAGTTTTAAAAACCAGGAACCCAAATGTATTATAAAATTATAGTTCCAAGTTAACTGCCATGGTTCTGTCCTATAAAGTCCTGGGCTTTATCTGCAAACCTGTGATTCTGTACAATGGAACCATGACAGATAATGTGTAATAATTGTGTAAATCCATATTGCTGGATTTGACTTCTGTATATTTGGTTGTACATGGATTTGATTAAAATGTTCCCTCTAGAACAGTGGTTCTCAACCTTTCTAATGCCGTGACCCCTAAATAAAGTTCCTCACATTGTGGTGACCCCCCCCACCATAAAAGTATTTCCATTGCTACTTCATAACTGTAATGTTGCTACTGTTATGAATCATTATGTAAATATCTGATATGCAGGATGTATTTTCATCATTACAAATTGAACATAATTAAAGCATAGAGATTAATCACCAAAACATGTTTGGAGGAGTATGGACAATGGATGATGGGCTTTGCAGTACCTTCAACAGATTCAGTTCTGACTTCCACAGACAACTGAGACTCCCAACGAATGAAAGACCTGGACAAAACTTGGCACACAGAACCCCCATAACCAACAAAAAAAATACTGGAGGGGGTTGGCAGTGATTTAGGAGAGATATAGTTCACCTACATCTGGAGAGCAAATGTGAACCCAAACAACCATGGATCTGGACCAAACTTGGCACAAGCACTCATTATGCCCAAATGTGAACACTGGTGGAGTTTAGGGAAAATAGACCTTGACATTTGGGAGTTGTAGAGTTACTATTTTATTATTATTATTATTATTATTATTATTATTATTATTATTATTAGACTCAGTTGGAAGGGACCCCAAAGGTCATCTAGTCCAGCCCCCTCTTTTATGCCAGGCAGGAAAATAAGAGTTACTATTTTATTATTATTATTATTATTATTATTATTATTATTATTATTATCTCAGTTGGAAGGGACCCCAAAGGTCATCTACTCCAGCCCCTCTTTTATGCCAGGCAGGAAAATATGAGTTACTATTTTATTATTATACATTACTATTATTATTATTATTATTATTATTATTATTATTATTATTATTCTCAGTTGGAAGGGACCCCCAAAGGCCATCTAGTCCAGCGCCCTCCTTTATACCAGGCAGGAATATAGAATTAGTGTATTGTTATTATTATGTAGTATTATAAGACTCATACAATTGAAAGGAAACCCCAAAGGTCATGTAGTCCAGCCTCTTCTTTCTGCCACACAGGAAGATAGAATTACTGCAGGAGCAATAATAATAATAATAATAATAGTCAATGGAAGGGCATTGGGCCTTTGGAGTTTTGGAGTTATAGTTTGCCTACATCCACAGAGCACTGTGAACTCAAACAATGATGGATCTTTATCAAATTTGGCACAAAAACCTGATATCCTGGAATTGGAATACTGGTGCACTCGAGAGGCGCATGGAGGCAGAGGGATGAGATTCCTTCATCCATGGCCCCTTGGCCCTGCCGCTACCGTTCTCTCCCCCGTGGCTGCGAAGGGCGAGGATGAGGGGTGGAGCTGGATCTGAATGGAGGGAGAGAGGGAGGGAGGGGCCAAGAGCAGAGGAAAATAAAGAACGAGGGAGGGAGGGAAGGGAAAGATGAAAGGAAGGAAGGGATTACGGCAGAAGGAAGGAAATGGAAAAGATTGGGGAAAAGAAGGAAAGAAATAAAGAGAAGGAAAAAAGAAAGAGCGAGGAAGGAAAGCACCTGGGGCTGCAGAGCTGGATGGCAGCGGGAGGAGCACCTGTCTCTCTTCTCTACGCTCCTAGTCTCCGGCTGCTCTCCTCTTGCTGCCCTTTGGCCCTGCTGCTGGCATGGCTGCTGCTGCTGCTGGTTTCCCACCTGGGGGCAACAGGAGCAGCAAGAGGAGAGTGGCCAAAGACTAGGAGCGTGGCGAAGAGACGGGTGCGCCTCCAACTACCTGCCAGCCCTTTCCTTTTTCCCCTCCCCTTTCCTTCTCCCTTCCTCCCTTCTCTCTCTTTCTTTCCATCATTGTCTCTTTCTTTCCTTCTCTCCTTCTTTCTTCCCTTCCTTTTCCCTCCCTTTCCTTCCTTTCTTCTCCCTCGCCTGACTCAACCTGCCCGTCGGGTCTGTCAAGCGGCAAAAGCCAGGCGAGGAAAGCAGCACCGCGTGGCCTGGCCTGCCGGGAAGCCCCTCCCCTGGCTCGCGTCGCCCATCGGGCCTCGCAAGCCAGGCGAAGGGATACCCGCAAGGCTAAGCCACGCGGTGCTGCTTTCCTCGCCTGGCTTTTGCCGCTTGACAGACCCGGCAGGCGGCACCCAGGTGAGGGAGGCAGCACAGCCTGGCCTGGCCTGGCCTGGTGGGAAGCCCCTTGCCTGGTTCGCGCCACCCGTCGGGCCTGGCAAGCGGCGAAAGCTGGCCACAGCCAGGCAACCGAGGCAGCACTGCGCAGCCTGGTGGAGGGGGCGGGGCCAATGGACATGGGGCCGCGACCCCTC